CTGCTGACGGGCAGGCGGGCCGGGCAACTGTGTTTCCCGGCATCTGCCACCGCCACCCAGCTCTACCGGTCACTGTTCGCCCGGGCAGACAAAGCCTCCTGAGACGTTAGTGGCCCCCAGGCCGGCCGGCCCGTGTTCCAGCAGGGTGGGCTTGTCCTCAGTGGCACTGCTGATGAGCCGTCAGTCCCAGGATCAGTTCTCGTCAGTGTGGCTAAGTCCAAGTCAGCCGAGCACAGGAGAGCAGCTGTGAACCAGAGAGGGGAGGCCCTGTGCAGGGGGCCAGTGAGCAGCCAACGGCTGGCTGTTCTCTTACCAACGACAAGTAGACTGAGCGGGAGGCCAGGCTAGAAGCTGGACCAGCACAAGGCCATCGAGGAAGGTCTCAGAGGGCAGCAGCTGAGACTCGGAGGACGAGGCACTGCCACTGCTGTGGGAACAACAGACGTGCCAGCAGGAGGGACAGCGTGTGCTGAGGCCCCAGGGCGGCCGTCCCACTGGGCTGAGGAGGTCTGCCCCAGGCTTGCGCCCGCGGAGCAGGGAGCTGCAACAGCTGACTTTCGCGTTCAGAGAGCTCCTGGCTGCTCTGGGGAACTAAGGACAGGAACCCAACGGGGAGATGGGGGAGCGGTGGGACTCGAGACGGGACACGTGTCTGAGGCGAATTCACGTGTTCCGAAGTTGACCTTCATGTTGACGAAGGTTTTTGCCTTCTGCATCACTGCGTTTCTAGTGTGTTGATAGCTTTCTGCCAGAACTGCCCAGGTGGCAGGCTGTCCTCCCTCCGGGGGCTCGGGGGCAGAGGGACAGGCGCGCAGCGGCATCGAAGCAGCTTTGTCTGTGTCGGCTCCCAGTTGTTGGCTTCTTGGTGACATGTGACAGCAAGTGGTCGCGTGGCTTTCCTCTGTCAGGTCGCCCCGTCCCAAGGCTCGAGCTGGGCTTGCTGTTTTCTGTTCATTAAGGGCTTGGAAGGCACGTTGAAGTGCCAGCCTCCCCCAGCCCTGGCCTCTGGGCCTCAGCGTCCTCGCCTGTGGTACCTGCCTGTCTCACCAGCTAGCAGAAGCTCCCGTGAAACATCTGTAAGCTACAGATTTACTTCTTTGGCAATGGGGCTGGTAGCTTTTCTTGTCATTATCACTGTGCCTAGGTGGCCATCGGGAGGGCTCGAAGGAGCTGACATCTGTGTTGCCATTGATGGAAGAAAGCCTCTCAGGACAGTTCCCAGAGGAGGAGCAGGTGCAGAGGCCCTGGGGTGGGCGTGAGCTCCTGGTCTGTGCCCAGGGGAGGAGATGGGGGAGAGGACAAGCCAGCCAGCTCCCCGGCCAGTGTTGCAAATGAAACTGCATAGCCCCTGAGGAGCCACCGGGAGTGACTGTGCCTCTGCTGGCCGTGCACTGACCGAGGGCCACCATCCGTCTGGCCTCCACGAGCCAGACTTAGCGTTTAGGACTTAGGACTTAACCGGACTTAGGATTTTAGGAATTTGGTATTCGGTCTTGATCTCAAAGTTTACATTCATCCGATGTAAAATCGGCATGTGGGGTCCCAGCACGCTAGCATTGCTCTCGGGCCCCGGGTTTGGCTGCCAGCCTCAAGTTTGCGCAGGATGGTTGGTGGAGGTTTGAGAAGGCGGCACCCCGGAACCTGGACTCGTGTTTGTACCATGTGTGCCGAGAGCAACCTTGTCCAAGGACTACTCAGGGTCGTGTGTGTTTTACAGCGCCGGAGAGTGGGTGCGATGGAGGGGACAGAGACGGTTACAAGGCCTTTGGGGACCTGGGCCTGCAGGACCAAGGGTGGGCCCAGTGTGTAGGAGAGCTACTCAGCACCAGATGGGGTCATCTCTCAGCACACAGGTGCTGGGAGACGTCCCTGACCATGGCTGGCAGCCGGCCTCCACACCTGGGCCTGTCCCTGTGCCCCCTCGTGGTCTGTATTACAGATTCCGTTCAGTCGGGCTCTCAGTAGTGGTTGCCCCACCCTGCTTTGGCACCCCCCCACCCCCAGTGCCGTCTCCTGCAGGGAGGAGGAGCCGATTTGTCAGCTGAGGTGTGGATGAGGCGCTGGGCTGACCTGCTGGACAGGCCACGTGGGTGCTGCCAAGGTGTTCCTGGTCTTGGTGGTGGCAGCTGAGACTATTGACTGCTTTTCCTTAGTTACGTGGCTTCGGGGAGACCTCAGTCCCGCTTCAGGAGCCAGCTGGATGTGGACAGGCACTTAGCAGCAGAGTGTGGGAACACGCCCTTCTCCCCTCTCATTGGCTCCCTTTGCTTCCTAGTGACACTGGAAGGGCCGTGATAACCCCGAGGGAAGAGGTGCGTTTCCTGAGCAGAGGTGGGCTGTGAGGTGGAAGCCAGCACTCGCTGGATCAACACTGCACAGATGCATGAGGCTGTCATCCCGAATGCTGTCGGTTGCCCCACCGTGTCCTTAGTGCCGTCTCTGAAGTTTTGAGGCGTGGCCTGTGCTAGGGAAGCTGCTTACACGGTGTTCAGCTGTCTGGTTTCAGCAGCGGTAGCTGGTGGAGTGAGGCCGTGTAGGGCAGCAGCTATACTCAGTGACAGTTTTAAGTGCCCACTCAGAGGTTTCCAGGGTGCCGAGTTGGAAGGCTGTGGGAGAAGGGGAGCAGGGCTCGGGGGCACCACGTCCCTGAAGGGCCCTTGTGCCTTCGGGTGGGACCACTGGTCCCCCTGTGCTCTGAGTCTCTTCATGGACTCGGGGAGGCCGCCGGATCAGGAGAGGATTCACGTGGCAGGCAGGGAGGTTGGTGAGTCGGCACAGTGTGACTTCAGCGTCCTCGGAGCAGGAGAGAAGCTTCAGAAAAAGAGCTCCCCTGGTCCCCGTGGAGGTTGGTGGGGAGCTGGTGACCAAAGGGAGTCCCCACACGTCCCTGCTCAAGCAGGCCCTCCGGTCTCTGAGGACCGTCCCAGGTCGGGGGTAAAGGGGGCGGGGAGGTCACCTGGCCAGCGGTGACGGTGAAGGCTCTGCAGACACCGCAGCACCGGAGGGAGGCGGCTGCGTGCGTGAGAGTCTCCCCCAGAGAACAGACACGGTGGTGGTCTCAGTGCAGGAAAGACGGGCGCAGTGAGCACCATCCACGCGGGGGGGAGCACAGGCTGGGGGCCACGTTCCTCAGGCAGCAGAGTGCAGGGAGAAGAGAGAGACGGGGAAGCCACAGACCTAGAGGTCCCCAGTCCCAGTGAACGGCCCTGTCTGCTCCTGACTCACGCCAGCTCAGTGCAAACGATTCCATTAGGGAAACTGCATCCTGACGAGAGTTGACAATGCTGAGCTGTGAGTATGCGTGCGTGCGAGTGTGTGTGTCTGTGTGAGCGTGCATGTGCATGTGTGTGTATATGCACGGGGAGCGTGTGGGAGTGCATGCGTGCGAGTGCATGCGTGCACGTGAGCAAGTGCATATATATGTGTATATGCTTGGGGAGTGTGCAGGTGTACGTGAGCAAATATGTATATGCATGGGGAGTCTGTGTGTGAGTGTGTGCATTTGTGTGCATGCAAGTGAGCATGTGCATATATATGTGTATATGTGGAGTGTGCGAGTGTATATGTGGAAATACGTATATGCATGGGGAGTGTGTGCATATGTTTGTGAGTACGTGCGTTTGCGTGCATGCAAGTGCATGTGGATATATGTGTGCATATGGGGAGTGTGTGTGCAAGTGTGTATGTGCATGAGTGTATGCGTGTGCACCCCGTGCAGATGTGTGTATGCATGTTTGTGTGCGTGTACGTATGTGTGAATGTATGGGAATGTGGGTGTGAGTGTGAGTGGGTGTTTTGGTTACCTAGTGCCACTCTGACAAGAATATACCACAAGTGGGATGTCCTTAATAAACAGGAGTTTATTCTCTTAGAGTTTGGAGGCTTTAAGTCCAAGTTTAAAGCACCAGGCTCTAGGGGCTGGTTGAAAGCCCCACGACTCGGGCTTCAGCTCCACCTCCTGCTCCCGGCCCACTGGAGCTAGATGCTTTTCTTCAACTCAGCTGCTGGCTGCTGAGACTGACAAGCCCAAGGTTGACAGTCCCGATGTTACCACACCACACCACAGGCCATTGATTCCAGTCCATTGAAAGTCCCAAGGTCAGCAGAGCATGACAGGCTGCCGAACAGTGACATGGCTACATGCAGGGTCCAAGCGTGCCATAAGCTAGAGACCATTCCCAGAGCTGCTGCTTATGTACGGGAAGGGAAGCAGACCACATACCCACAGCAGCTACTCAGCTGCTTGTGGTAAGTCCCACCATGGAGTTGACTGCCATTCTCATCATGGGCAATAACTACCACCAGCTGCCCAGCCACTCAACCAGGCCCAGCCAAGTTGACACACAACATAACCACCACAGTAGGTGTGGTTACGTGGGGGGTTGTCTGTTAGAAATACGCACTGATGGCTTCTTTCGTGACACGGTCTGCTCTCCGGGATTTGCTTGTGGATGGGTCCAGGAGTGGGGGGGTCTGGGGTAAACAGGGTTGCCCGTGAGCTGGTAATTGCGTGGCTGCCACCATGATGGGCACACGGACTGTGCTCTGTTGGCACTTGTTCTATTTGTGTGTTGGGACGTTTTCCACGTTAAGAACATTAAAAACAAGGATGAGGGGAAAGAGATTTAAACCTTGCCTGATGTCTGCTCCCGAGAATGGCAGAGTTCAGGGGTTTGTGGGCAGTGTCTTGGGGGGCTAGAAGCACTCGGACAATAGCCTGGCTGCGTTGGGTTAATCCCAGGAGGCCTGTGGGTGTCCCTGCTGCTGGGCTGATTGGGGTTTTGATTTGGTTCCCGAGGGGCCTGAGGGTTCAGCAGAAGTCCGCTGCTTGATCCCCATCAGTGACAGGACACGTCCACCACGTACCCTCTGCTGCTTGGCATCCTGTCCCTCATTCCCAGCATAGTGGGGAAGCCTGCTAGGTCGGTCTGCCTGCATCATGCACCCGTGGGGGTGCCACCCCACCCCAGCCACACTGAGGTCATGTTTCTGATTTTCAGACTGGGCTGCTGTCATCCGCGTGGCCGCTCTGGACTGTGCCGAGGAACAGAACCACGAGGTGTGCCGGGCCTATGATGTCCACTTCTACCCCACCTTCCGGGTGAGTGCCCACTGCCCCAGAGGCCTGGCCCAGCCCCTCTGGTCGCCACACTCCGCTTCATGGACACGTCTCGGGGCGAGTCCACCACACCTGTGGTCCGGACTTCCACCCACTCTGGTCTTCTTGACACTTCTTAGGAGTTTATGTTTGGAAAGTGTTTCTGTGCTCTGGTAGCACAGTGGTTAAAGTGTTCAACTGCCATCCTAAAGGTCAGCAGTTCGAAACTACCAGCCACTCCACAGAAGAATGATGAGGCTACTTCCATGAAGACTGATAGCCTTGGAGACCCTATGGGGCATTTCTGCTCTGTCCTCTAGGGGCGCTGTGAGTTGGAATGGACTCCACGGCAGTGGGTGTGGTTTCTTTAGTTTATTGTGGGGCTTTGCACATATCCACATGCACACATGCATACACGCATGTGCACACAGTCACATGGGCAGAGACATATACTACATATACACTTACTGGTGCACAGACATGGTATGCACTCACGTGCACACTCCGACACTCAGGAGCATGTTGTGAGTGGAACAAGCCCCAAAGCCTGTGGAGCCCGTGACTGTCGGAAGCACCCAGCAGCCCTCTCTGTCCCCAGTTCTTTTGTGATGGGGGGAGGGAGCAACTGGTAGGAAGTTCTGTCTGTAATACATCTTGATAGGTCGCAGGTGACTTATCTGTTGGCTTTTCTCCTTGACGTCTGTCCCTTGAGAGCAGGGGCCCTCCAATTTGTGTCTCCATCTCCATAGGCTGGGCCTGGAGAGAGGACTGGTGGGGGACCCCAGTGTGGACTCCGGTGAGGCCCCAGTAAGGGCTGGTTACCGAGTGGCTTCCTATGGCCCCCTGGTCCGTGGCTGCGCTGTCCACCACGTCTCCTGGGTCTTGAACACGTGGCAGAGCTGATGCTGGGGGCCTGGCCTTAGGCCCCCAGCCAGGGCTGGCCCCAGTGTGTGTCTTGTGGCCCCTGAGTCTCTCCTCAGGGCTGTGATGGTTGTAGGCCTCTGGGCGGTGCCTCGGGCAGCTCCCTCCTGAGGGGCCTGGGACTGACAGGGCCCAGTGTCGTGGGGCCGTGGCAGCTCCCTGCCGGCAGTGACGGGGTCAACCTCTGGACTGTCCTCACGGGGCCTGGGAACCTGTCGTCCCTCCCGCGCCCACCCTCTGAGCACCACGTGCTTCCGTCAGCACCCGTGCTAACCCTCTGTCTCAAACCTTGGGCCTTTTTCTTGACCCCATGATGTTGCTGTGGCTCACTTGATGTTGGGGGTTGATGCTGAGGGACACCACACGCACGACCACCTAGTCGCCTCACCCCCCCGGGCTGCCGAGTCGGCGTCTCCCAGACCTCTGCTCTACTGAACAGCGTGGCTGTGAACGTTCTCACCCGTCTCCCTGGTTTGTGGGCAAGCATTCCCTCCAGGTGGAGACAGGGATGGGGTGGGCCCTGCCCTGCGTGCCCCCGTCCTGCATACCCCCAGTCTATGCCGCCCTGCCCTGCACACCTCTCCCCACTGGGGCCTGAGCACCGTCAGGTGTCCCCGGAGCCAGCGTGGGGCCCGCTGAGGTCTGAATTCGTGTCTCCAGGCCCTCCATCTGGGACGTGTTTAGCCTGCTCGCCACCCGCCCACTTGTCTCTTGGGTGGTTTGTGCTTCTTCCTCCCTGCTTTCTTGAGCTGCTGCTCCGTCTGATACTGACCGCTCTCAGCTGAGAGCTGGAGTACTGTAGCCCAGCTTGTCACTTGCCTTCATGTCTTTAATGAAGGAAGTGGTTAGCTTTAAGATAAAAGCCCTCTTTTCTCCTTGAAGACACGTGAGCATCTCCCCTTCCCTTCTGGTCTCTCCTTCACTTCTGTTCTCCCCACTTCTGGTCTCTTGACTCCACCACGTGGCCAAGGCCACAGGCTGCAGACCAGGAGTCAGGGAGAGGGCTGGCAGCCCTGATCCTAGCCCTTCAGAGTCATCCCTTCCCCAGCCCCAAGGGCTCAGAAAACAAACGTAACGGAATTTGAGTACTCAGCGCAACTTAGACGTGTGGAGGACTCAGGAGGAAACACAGATACCCAGGACCCTCTTGGAAGTGTGAGGTCTGCCCTCAGTTAATGTACACATGGGAGGTCCCCTTCAGTTAACGTACACACAGGGAGGTGGACTGAGGCACAGACCACCCTCAGTTAACGTACACACAGGGGAGGTGGACGGAGGTCCCCCCTCAGTTAACATGTGCACAGGGAGGTGAACTGAGATGCTCCAAGATGTGAATGTTTTGTAGCTTAAATATTGGGCAGACATGCCAATCTTTACTTGTCTTCTGTTTTCCTTACAGTATTTTAAAGCGTTTACAAAGGAATTCACAACTGGAGAGAATTTTAAAGGTGAGCATGGGAGCAGCAGCGTTTGGTTTATTAGCCTCACCTCCTAAACCTGTGAAAACAGATGTGGTTTTAGGGGACGTACAACTCAGGTGCAGTAACTGCCCATCCCTGGCCTCAGTGCTGTGCTGCCTCCTGTCCCTGGAGAAGGCAAACGTGGGTGCACAGCTCATGGGCGCAGTGAGCACCCCTCTCAGGTGGGGCCACACCTGCCCGCCCGCTCATGCCCCCCACCTGGTCTGCGCTCCTGGCCCTCTCGCCTGTGTTGGGCCTGCTCTCCAGGCAGCCGTCCTGCCGGCCTCTCTCCCTGCCCTGGGTGTGGCCTCAGCCCCCGTGGGCTCGCCCTGGCACTTGCTTGCCCTCTGCTGCTGGGGCCTGTATGCAGCCCACATACAGGGTGGGCTCTGGGACAGCCCCCTGCAGCCGTGTGGGGAGCAGGTGCCACTGCCCTTGGGCCGGAGGGTGCGACATCTGTGTGGTGCAGACCGGCCATGAGCATTTTGCTGTCCGCCAGGAACCGACCGGGAGCTGCAGACGGTAAGACGGAGCATGATCGACTTCCTGCAGAACCACACGGAGGGAGCCCGGCCGCCGGCCTGCCCGGCTCTGGACCCTGTTCTGTAAGTGCCCGTTCCTGAGCGGCGTGGCGCGAGCTGAGCCCATTTGTAGGGCGTGGACCACACTTGGTGCTCTGAGCACTTGTGCTTGGCCGTCAGCAGCTCCAGAAAGTGCTAAGAGCTTTTTTTTTTCTCTCGAAAGGCCCAGTGACGTCCTATCCCTGTTTGACAGCCGTGACGGCCGCTATTCGGCCATCATCTTTGAAAACAGCAGCTCCTACGTTGGACGAGAGGTGCCAAGCCCTCTGCATCTTGTCTCGGGCTCACCGCGTGGCGTGCGTCTGGCGTGGGCCTAATGCTGATCCGTGTGTGGTTGTGAACGCTTCGGCAAGGCTCACATTCACGGTCTGCAGAGCTGTGTTTGTGGTGGTTAGCTGATTCCCTGGTGTATGGAAGAAGGTTAGGATAAAAGACTGTCTCAGAGAGGAAAGCTGGCAGGAGCTGGGCCAGGCTAGTCGTAGGCGTGAGCTGAGGGAGGAGCACTTCTGGACGTGTAGAGCCTTGAGGGCTCGTGCGTCTTACACTGAGCGCCACTGGCAAGGCCCTCCCTGTCTGGTTCTGACCTCTCAGAACGTTTGGCAAACCCAGTGACTTCTAGGACATTGTCTCTGAGGTGGGTCTGTTGTGTCTCCCCGCCCCGGTTGCAGGACTCTGAGGCCTTTGCCTGGCCGAGTCTAAGTGGGACGTGGATGCTGACATCCACGGTCTCCCAGGACGTAAGACACATCTTGAGCGTCGCTCTGTGTGGTCATCTCTGACCCACTGAGGGCTTTCTCTCCTGTTTTCCTCCCGTGGGTGGCAGCTTGGGTCCTGGTCAGAGTGTTTCTGGGTGCCACCTGGAAGGAGGCTGCAGGCAGTGGGATTTCATTTACCTCAGTGGGGGGGGTCGCGCATTGCTCCCACCTGCGCCTCATCACTGCCCCTACACCCAGTGGCACCTTTCACGTGTTGAATGGCTGCAAGCAGGACCTGCTCTCCTCGGGGAGTCACCGCAGGCCGTTTTTGTGCTGCACCTCTCCCGTCACCAGTTCAGGGCTGGCCAGGCCTGTCCCTGGGAGGGGAGCCACTGCGGGCTGCAGCCGACGTGTGGCCCGCGGTGAGGTGCTCGCTCAGCCTGTGCACTCAGCCCTGCTTAGTGCCTGCGCCTGTTCAGAAGGTGACCGGTCTCATTGACGGCCAAGAGGGGCCCAGAGAAGGACCAACCGCTGAGGTCCCCCACCTGCTCTCAGGGCACCTGCCTCAGGGAATGCAGGAGCTGCCCCCTTAGAGCTGCCCAGGGCACAGCGTGACTAGCGCCAGCTTTATAGGGTGTGCTGCCTGGCAGATGTGCTGCGGTTGCTGTAAAGGTGACACGGTGGTGCAGGTGTGTGACCTCTGACTTCGTGAGGGGGGAGGAGGGTCATTGTCGGCGTCCACCGCCCACGGCTGATTCCTGAGGTGGGGGTCAGACAACCTCCTCTCACCAACTTTCCATCCCCTCTGCCACCACCCCTCCCACGGCACCCTCTGCTTCTCTGCTGGGTTCAGTACTTGGTTGTAATGGCTACATACAGCTTCACAGACCATACTCACAATTAAGAGGTTTGTTAGGGACGTAACAGGATACAACTCAGCATCAGGATCGACTTAGAAGCAGGAATGACTCAGAATGCAGCTCTTTTTTTTTTTTCTTTTTCCTTTTTTTTATTATTAGGATTTGGGTGAAGATTTACAGAGTAAATTCACTTTTCATACAGCAGTTCACATATACTTTGTCTCATGTCATTGACCAAAATTTACAATGCAGCAGCTCCCCTCCCACTTCCTCCCCATAGTTACCTCCTCCCAGTGTCCATCCAGAAGGCAGCTCTTGATCAGAAGAGCTTCCCCTCCTCGGCCACTGGGCCTGCTCGGGCCTCTTCAGGCGTGTGTCACAAATCTTAGCTCTCCCGCGTGTCCAGAGGGGCCGCGCTTTGCCAGCCAGCCTCCTGCCCGAAGGCCCGAAGGCCCGAAGGCCCGAAGGCCCGAAGGCTCTCACTCCGCCGTCTGCTGCGGACTGGTCCCTGGTTCTGCCTCTGCTGCTGCCTGTTCTGTGCCCGGCTTCTCTCCGGCCACGTGACAGCTCGGTCTCTTGTCTCCTGGGTCTGGGAGGCTCCAAAAGACCTGCTTCACTCGCGTCTCCCCTTGGCGGCAGTGGGTCCCCTCATCAGGGCTCCATATACCTTTTGGCATGGTCCCACCCCCAAGAGCATGCCGTGCGCCTTGTTTACATTATTAACAAGCTATCTAATCCCCTTGATGGGCCACAGGCACCTCATTTGCACAGCCCCGCCCAGTCATTTGGTGGGAGTTACAAAGTCTGTGGCTACAAGAGCCATATTAAGTAATCCACTGCACCACAGTTAGTCTGAAACTGCGAAATGAGATGATAATTGCTGCCTGGAGACCTGTCTCATTCAATTGCTTTAGAACGCAGTAAAAAGTAAAGGTCTGTGGTGATCTGTCTTATAGAGAAAGGAGCCCTGTGGTGTAACAGTTAAACAGTCGGCTTCAAGCCAGAAGCTCAGTGGTTGGAATCCACCAGGCCTCCCTGGGAGACACGACCGGGGTACCCTGTCTCCCTGCAGACTACAGCCTTGGAAACCCCGTGGGGCGTTCTGCCGGCAGCTGCACCGGCAGCCCCTCCTCACACGGGCGGAAAGTAGCTGGATTCCATATCCTGCTCTTGGTGGGAGGCGCCGTGCCACGCCTCCCTCTTTCTTCTTGACCTCACTCCTGTTCTGTGAGGCACTGCGCAGCTGGTGCCCGTTGCCGCGGCGTTTCTCAGCCCAGCCTGCCGTCTGCAGCGGCGCTGACACGGGCCTCTCACCAGGTGATTCTGGACCTGACCCCCTACGAGAACGTGCTGGTGAGGAGGGCGTTGGACTCGGACGGGGCGTTTCTCCAGAAACTGGGCGTGTCTTCGCGCCCTTCGTGCTACCTCGTGCACCCAAACGGGACACGGGGCCCCGTTGACATGTAAGTCGTTTGGCGCACAGAGCGTTTGCAATGTTGGCGGGATCCCAGAACTTGGCTGTGTGTAGACTTCTTGGACAACGTCTCCAGCAGACAGGGAAAGTCTGGTGGGCGGTGACTGAAGCGCCCTGGTCCTGCCCACCCCACCCCCAGGTGTGTTGGTGTAACCACATCTGCAGAGCCTGGGTCCCGCCCCTCCCCCGAGCATGTTGGTGTAACTGTGTCTGGCTGCCTGTCGTCTGTGCTACACTTCATTGGGTTTCAACCAAACCCACCTAGTAGGGTGCCTCCCAGGCCAGGTGCCACGTGGTCCATGTCTGCAGCTGTGACCAACGGGGCCACATGCTGGCCCCTCGCCGGAAGAAAGGACAGGCTCCACTCAGCCCCTTTCCCCACTGAGCCAGTGGCACGTGGCTGTACACAGGGTGGCCGTGGGCCCCAAAAGATCCGCTCAGCAAAGCATCATAGTCAGACACACGGCCATAAAGAGAAACGCGGAGTGACGTCTGGGGCACTCTGGTCCACGCCACCTCCCACCTGCACCACCAGCCCGCCCCCAGCTCTGTGCGTGAGCCTTGCCTCTGGCAGGAAAGCCCCGTCTCGGCTGAGTCCCTGTGTCCTGCAAGGCAGTAACAAGACAGCAACAAGACAGCATTCACTTCCTGGCCCCGTGGAGCCTGTGTCTCCCATCTGAGTGTCTGGTGGTGGAGGCAAGGGTCTGCCTAAGCCCAGTGTGCCCTGCTCTGTGGTACGTTTCTGTCCTCAGGGTGGGCAGGCCAGCAGGTGAGGGCCCTGGGGGCAGGGTGGTCTGTCTCTGTGGTCCAGCTCAGCAGAACCAGCCTGAACCCTGTCCAGTGGCCAGGCCAGCACCCCTACAGCCTGGCATGCCAGCTGTGGGGCCTTCCTCAGATGCCACATGGTGATGAGTGAAATGCTTGTTTAATGATCAAAGGATCATGTCGCAACTCACAATGATGTGGCCATAGTTTTTCTCTGGAAGTTAAGCCTCTGAGGGTGAGTGACCTGAGCCACGCTTGAAGTGCTCAGTACTGGTGTACGCCCTCAGGGGTTCCCCTGTTCCATGCAGGGGAACAGGCAGGGCCTTGGCCAAGGTCTTGATCTGCAGGGAATCCACTTGAAGAGGGATTCTTACTGCAGTGTGACTGAAGCCCATGGGTCCCCACTAAACATCACAGAGCCACAAAGCCACGAGGACTGGACCTCAGTGGTCATTGGGGGCGGTGTGACCTCAGGTGGAGCGGGGCTCCCCGAGGCAGGGCCACCGCGTCTGTCGTGTAGGATGCCCTACCAACAAGCACCAGCAGGCAGGAGGCCGGATGTCCTGCGTGATGGGATGGGTTCCCAACTAACCAGGGCTGCCTCATGGGGTCTTAGCGCCTGTCACGGGTGCCCACCTGGCTTCAGATGGGAGCTCTGCCCTCTCCTGTCCCGCAGCCCGAAGCCTTTCCGGTCATTTTTCTCTGCTTACTTGAAGTCACTGCCCGGAGTGAAGAAGAAACCTCTGTCCGCGCCTGAGAAACCGGGCAGAGAAGAGGACGTAGCCTCCCCAGTCTGGAGGGAATTTGATAAGCAAGTACCCTTTCACCTCATGGGGAGTGGCTACCTGGCACGGGAGGCGGGTCCCTGAGCTGTGTGCTGCCCAGGAACTGTGGGCACTGTCCAGGGCGCGGGGGCTGTGGCACCTGGCGAGTGCGGGAGGTCTGGGGGGAACGGAGGTGTGTCAGTGACCCGCTCTGCAACCCCAGGTCCCGGCTGTACACCGCAGACCTGGAATCCGCGCTGCACTACCTCCTGCGGGTGGAGCTGGCCTCCCACAAGTCACTGGCCGGGGAGGAGCTGAAGACACTCAAGGACTTCATCAGCCTCGTCGCCAAGGTGCGTGTGTCCCCCCGTGGTGGGGGGGTGGCTGGGCTGCTTGGCACAGAGTGCAGAGAAGGAACCGGAAGGCAAGGTCACCTGGCTGCGGAGGGAGCAGGCGGGCTCAGGTGAGACCACACACTCTCCTCACTCGCTGCGCACGCTATACTCTGACTTATCAGCAAGCATTTCCCGAGCGTTTACCATGCGCACACTGCGTGCTCAGCTCCGGGCATGCCCTTCACAGGGAGGAGATGGAAACGCTGCTCTGTGTAGGCAGCAGCCCCAAGTGGCTGAGGTGTGTGCACGTCAGATGGTGCAAGTTTGGGGGTTTGTGCATAAGGAGTCAGAGGGGATGCAGGGGGCTGCACAGTGGGGGACATGGTGTGGTTGGCATTGGCGCCTGGCCAGCTCTGTCATGTTGGTTGTACCCAAATTGCTGTTAGCTAAAGGGGGCTCTCTTGCCTCTGTGGTGTGGTCCCTCTCTCTCTCCACCTCTTACTCTTATCATTGCTTTCAGGGGACATCATACCATGGTTGACACATGGGGTAGATGATTCCCCGCCCCCTTTCTCTGCAGTTTACTCAGACGTCCAAAACAGACTCTTGTTGTTATGTGCCATCGAGTCGGACCCGACTCATAGCGACCCCTCCTTGGGTTGCTGAGGCAGTATCTCTATGGAAGTAGATTGCCCAACCTTCCTTCTGAGGAGTGGCTGGTGGGTTTGAACCGCCAGCCTTCTGGTTAGCAGTCAAGTGCCTTAGGCACTATGCTACCAAACTGAGCGCTGGTAAATTTGGTAACTTGCGTGTTATTGCTAGGTGCCATCGGCTGACTCATAACGACCTTATGTACAACAGAACGAAATACTGCCTGGTCCTGTGCCAGCCTCCCAATCCCTGGTGTACCTCAGCCCATGGCCACAGCCCCTGTGTCGCTCCATCTCCCTGAGGGCCTTCCTCTTCTCCGCTGACCCTCCACTTTACCAAGCATGACGTCCCTCTCCAGGGACTGGTCCCTTCTGACAACATGACCAAAGGAGGTGAGACAAAGTCTGGCCATTCTCACTTCCAAGGAGCATCCCGGCCGCACTTCCTCCAGAACAGATTTCTTCATTCCTCTGGCAGGCAGTCCATGGCACTTAAAGTATTCTTCACCAGCACCACAACTCAAAGCCATGAGTTCTTTGGTCTTCCTTATTCTTTGTCCAGCTTTCAAATGCATATGAGGTGATCGAAAATACCACGGCTTGGGTCAGGTGCACCTTAGTCTTCAGAGTGACATCTTTGCTCATTAACACTTTAGAGAGGTCTTTTGCAGCAGATTTGCCCAGTGTTACATGATGTCTGATGTCTTAACTGCTGCTTCCGTGGGTGTTGATTGTGGATCCAAGTAAAATGAAATCCTCGACAGCTTCTGTCTTTTCTCCATTTATCATGATACTGCTTATTGGTCCACTTGTGAGGAGTTTTGTGACTGTAATCCATACTGAAGGCTGTAGTCTTTGATCCTCCTCAGTAAGTGCTTCAAGTCCTCTTCACTTCGGCCAGCGAGGCTGTGTCATCTGCATGTCGCCCTTCTTCCCCATCTGGTCTGGAAGCTCTGCTGACACCTGTCCACCATGGGGACCCTGCTGGTATTTGAACGGCGGTGGCCTAGCCTCCGGCCTCCAGAAGCACACAGGCCCCACAGTGTGACAAGCTGACAGATGAGTCATAACCTCTGTAGGGGTGAAACTTTTTACAAAGTTGAGAGAGCGCTATCCCTGCTCTAGCTGTGTGTTTCAGAATCACTGTGGTTGGAAAAAGGAGCTGTGGTGGCATACTGGGTAAGGCATTTGGCCACTAACCAGAAGGTCAGTGGTTCAAACCCACCAGCCACTCTGGGGAAGGAAGGTGGGACAATCTGTCTCTGTAAGGACTCACCACCTGGGAAACCTGATGAGGAATGGACTCAGTGGTGGTGGGTTTGGTTTGCATTTGGTGGTTGGAAAGCTTGGAGGTTGGGAATGCGTGTCCATTTAGTGAGGTCGCAGGACCAGGGTGGCAGGCCATGTCCGGCTGGTTTAGCTGGGTCCTTTCCCAGGTTCACTGGTCTGCCAGCTGCAGTGCCAACATAACGTCCGCATCAGCGTTCGTCATTACCAGCCTGCTAACTGTTCTGTGGCAAAGCCTCTGTGGCCCTGAGTGCTCGTACAGACAGCTGCCTAGTCCAGGGCACTGGGAGGAAGTTGGGGCACCAGAGCTACGCAGACAGTGACAGCAGGCAGGGCTGGCACACGTGGTCATGAACACAGCAGGCACCAGCAGGCAGCCATTTCTGCAGGGGCCCAGGGTGCCTGACAGCTCTGTCAGTGAGTCACATGTTGAGGTCTGTCGTCTGTCACTGAGGTGGCTCCTGGTATGTGTAGGGATGGTGGCTGGAGGTGTGCTGGGTAAGCAGGTTGGCAGGCCAGACATGGAGGACGAGTGGAGGAGCTGGGCACAGAGCCCGCCCGCTGCCCGTAGTGTCCTGTCTCCTCTGGGAGAGGCCTCCCCCTGACTCACACAGGTACCCTGAGGGCCCGAGTTAGGGGTGCTTGGTCTGTCTACTGGCTCTGGGGCCCAGTTCCCCCGCACACTCTTGGACGGACACCCTGAGGGCCTGAGTTAGCATTGGTGGGGTCTGGCTGCCGGCTGCAGGCCCAGTGTCCCCAGCTGCTGTCTTAAATGTGACCTCCTCACACAGCTGTTCCCTGGCCGGCCGCCAGTCAGGAAGCTCTTGGAGATGCTGCAGGAGTGGCTGGCCAGCCTGCCCCTGGACAGGATCCCCTATGACGCGGTGCTCGACCTGGTCAACAACAAGATGCGGGTGAGTCCCCATCCTCCTCAGCCTTCCCTGGCCTCCCCTCCTTTCCTGCCCTTCCCCAGCTCTCCCTGGGCCCCTGGGCTCAGGCCTGTCACCACATTCTGTTACTGCCCTCACGTGTCATGTGCTCCGTCCTCCTCCTGAGAGCCCAGAGCCCAGGGCCCACCCTTCCAAGTAGACCCCTGCACTAGGCCCCCACCTCCTGCCCTCACAAGGCCAGGCCAGCTCACAGGAGTCTTCTGTCTAAGGACAGCCAGACACATACCTGGAAGCCACTGTCTCCGTGGGGACAGTCTCATGAGCAGTGTGACTGTAGGGCTGTTGGTAAACTCACCTGGATCACCCCCTGAAGTCTAAGAATGCGGTGGGGCCTGCTGGGCACCAACACGGGGCAGCTTACTTCCCCCAAGTCCAAGGCCGGCAACAGTTCTGGCCACCTGGGGAGTCCAATAGCCCAACATCCGAGAGGACCATGAGTGTCAGCCTGAGCGTGCCGCTGGGCCCTACAAGCACGTGCCCTCTGGGGCCCTACAGCTGCGTTGCTCACCTTTGGCCCGTAGCAGAAGTGATACCAGGTTCTCTCCCAAGCCTCACTTTCATGTGTGGTCCTCCACACAGGGAAACCCACCCAGTCATGGGCCAGAGAGGAGGCAGGCCCCGTGGTCATCCTACAGGGTCTCCCCTGCATGTGGGTGGAGGGTCCTCCTTTGCACAACTGCCAGCTAGGTTGTAGCCATGTCAGGCCATCAGCCACCTCTGTTCCTATGACACGAGCCCTCCGCCTGTTCTGGCTGAGAACAGTGACCACTGAGCAAGTCTCTGTGAGTGTCATTGTAACGGGTTCTCTGAGTGTCATCATGGCAGGTTCTCTGTGAGTGTCATCATAATGGGTTCTCTGTGAGTGACATTGTAACAGCTTCTCTGTGAGACATCATAACAAGTTCTAGTTTGTTTCACATTGCTGACTTATCCAGACACAGATGTACTTTCTTTCGCCCCCAAATGAGAAAAGGACAGGTCACGCTTCCACAGTTTGGGGATTCCTGTGGTAAAGGGCTTCCTGTCAGCTTTTCCCTCACATTTGTTTCTTTATTGCATGTCAGTTTCTATGTGGTGAATGCAGAGATCTTGCACATAACCACGGCCTCTGCAAAGTATGGGACCATTGTCAACTATTTTTAATTTTAAAAATTAGCCTTTATTCTTCTCCTTTTTTCAGATATCTGGAATATTCCTAACCAATCAGGTCAAGTGGGTTGGGTGTCAAGGAAGCCGACCAGAGTTGAGGGGCTACCCCTGTGCCCTCTGGAAGTTGCTGCACACCCTGACGGTTGAGGCAGGAGCTCGCCCAGATGCGCTGGTTGGCACAGGTGAGCCACCCAGGGTGCAGTCACTTGTCTGTACATGTTCCATGTGTGTGCCTGTACGCAGTGTCGTCAGAGGCCAGGAAAGACTTGGTTTGCAGTCATGAGGCAGTGTGTCATTGCAGTTGCCTGCAGGAGCCCCTTGCCCAGGAAGGCAGGGTGGACATCATCTCAGAAGGCATGGCCTGTCTGCAAAAAGTGCTCCAGACAGGAAGCATCTCTGCAGGAAGATCCCTCTTTGTTTGCTTTGAAGAAGGCACAAGAGTAACATACTTGGAAAGGCGGACCAGTTACTATTGTTGCAAATCACTCCAAAGGAAGCCTTTGGGTGCACCTGTGTGTCCCAGGGTGGGGACCAGGCACAGCTTCACCAGGCTTCTGCTTCAGCTCACTTAGGGGCTGTGGGCATGTGCCAGCCAGACTGG